GTGAGATATATCTGTGCCTTTTATATATATATATATATATATATATATATATCTCCATTTGGAACGAATTTAAAGTATGATTAGTGTCTGTCCACTGTTGACACTGACATCCATCCTCCCAACTGCTGATTCTTCACTATTGTTAAGTCAACTACCTTGATTGTACCTAACCCTCAATTTTAACAACCAACTTCAAATATTATTCAACATTTTTTATTTAATAATTATAACTCTTAAAATTTTATTGTTTCAAAATAACTCATATTTACTAAATAAATATATATCACATGGGGCCAATATGAGTAATTTCTATAGTTTTAAGTGTTATAATAATTAAATTAAATTAAACTTAAGACAAACACAAAGAGACAAAACTTACACTTAGCCAAGAAAGCCAACACATGGCACCTAAGTCTAACTCACCCAAGTCCAATCCTTGGGTGGGTCAAACTCAGGTTAAAGCTAAATCAAGCCACCCAAAACAGGCTTGCCCCAATCATCCTAAAGCCTTGTTACGTCTTCTCCTTCCACATTGGAGCCTCCATGGTCAAACAGTCGAATTCTAAGATGATAAGGTCAATCGTAAAAGCACACTGAGAAATTAAAAATGACTATGAAACTAAATACAAAAACTTTCTTGTTATTTGAGCCTCTGGAACATATCCATGTATCTTCAATCGAATCACCCCTCAACTCTTTTAAATTGTCTTCTCAACACGACACTTGGTGTTAAAGTTCCTTCATATTGAGAGAAGGAGCATTGTATATGGAGATATAATTCATTCCAAATAATGCTAATGAAAGCAAATGTCTTATTCAATAAAAAGTAGATGAAAGAAATGAGAGGGTACCAGCCTCAAATGAAAACCCTGTCGACAAAATTTATGCATTAACTCCATCTATCTGTGTTCGAATGAGTAGCACATTGATTGGAAACGAAGAAAATAATCCCTAGTTGTTGGATTCAAATGTTCTCCATACCCTAAAAATAAAATCTACCTTTGTCAAGGCACTTATCTTACTCCATTTCTTGTTTAAATAGCTTTAATGTTTGAAAAATGATCTTTATATCACCAAGATCAGAATTTAATTTCATGATTTTATCCAACATAGAACCCGAATGTGTTGTTGATGCTTGCACATGTATTTTGATTAATGGAACCATTAGAAAACCAATCATTTTATAATGGGTTGGCTTTTTAGAGAACAAGAAACAATTGAGTTTATTGGCACAAATTTTAAAGTGCAACAATATTTTATGAAATCAGTTTCAAAAAGATTCAAGTAAATTTCGAAAAAAAAAAGTTACATGTTAGATCCTTATATCAAATTTGATTGTTGTTAGATATGGCTCATATATCATATAAGGGACAGACGCTGGAACGAAACAGAACGGAGTATAAGAATCTGTCCAATCGGGGGAGTTTCGTTATGTAAGTTGGGGGGGCGGGGGCAACACCTCACGGTACGACATATAAGTTATTTTGTAATTACATATTGTAAGTCAGTGTTATATATGTATTGTAACCCTAAAAAAATATCTTCTACTTCTTTTCTGAGATTGAAGGGAACCCGCCGCTCTGCTCCCGATGACGTAAGCACCTGTTTTCTTATAAATTTGTATCGATTGTTATTTTTCTTCACCCTAATTTTTCAACAATTGTGCATGATTTATATTTCTAATATGTTTACACTCATTCTCTCTCATAAAAAATTGATATTTAATTTTTATTATGTTGCCAACAAGGGGAAAATGAATGTTGAACTTTTCACATTTATGTATATATTCAAAAAAATGTTTACCGAAAAGATATAATTTTAGATTCGAAAATATCATTTAATTGTTAGATTAAAGAGTAAAATACTTTAAACAATTCAATAGAGTATTCTTACTAAGCGCACATTGTAGGTGAACTTATTTTGATGATAAATAAGTATATAATTAAAGAAACTAATGTGATATGTTAAGTGACATCAAAATTTGAAGCTTATAAGTTCATAATCGGCTCATATTCTCTGTAGAAATTCATTGATTTTTTTTTTTACATTATTTAGATTTTAATTTTAATATTCATATAAATTAGTTAAATCAAGTTAAAACAAATATATACATATATATATAAGACATTATGATCTATAAGATGTTTACTAGGAATATGATTGTATATTCACATGTATGTGACATCTCAATTTCATAGTTAGTTGAGGGGAGAAACATTTCCTTTACATATAGATTAGCATGAATTTATAGACAATAAGAGTTAGGCTTAGAGTTAGGATTATGTAAATTTTTATTTAATTACATCAAAGTTGCTGGAAAAAAGGTTGATGATTGAGAGACAGCTTTTCTTCCTCTCTAGAGTTAATTTGAGAATAATGTACATAATTAGCCAAAAATAACAGCAAGCCACACATTTATTCAGATTGCAATATGAACCCCTCAATTAGTTGATTTACAGTATCCGGCTTCTCCAACTGCAATGCATGCCCCGCATCTTTTATTAGTTCCAGCCATGCATTTTGCCCCAAATGTCTGTTTTTTTTGTCATATGAATGATTTGGGTGGGGTATAAATATAAAAGTTAAAATTTAGGTGTTAGATATGTAAATACATAAGAATTGAGTGGGTAAATGCCCCATTTTACTTTAATGGATTTCTATATTTTTGTAACTAAAAAGTATTAATGAGATTAACGAGAAGGATGCATCAATTGAAGGATGAATCATACCTATGTAATCGATGAGCCAGAGAAATGGGGAAAATACCGTCTTTATCACCCCAAATAATAAGAACATCCTGTAGAGAAATTAAATAAATAAAAACCTCGTAAATAGCGCTGGAAGAAAAAGAGTTTGTGAGCCTTGCAGGTTTAGCTTTTGAGTAGAGCTGTCGGAACGGCTCGTTCGTGAAAAGCTAGTGTTTGATTCGTTAAATAGCTCAAGTTCGATTCATATGCTAAACAAACGTCAAATATGAACATATAAACAAGCCAAATATGAACAAGCTCATTTTGGCTCGAACGATATATATATATACATATATATATATATATATATATAATTTAATTAAGTGCAAGATCGTAAAGATTTATAATCAATTAAAATTATTAATTAAAAAATAGAATAAAAACAAATTAAATACATTTAGAATGAATATTTTAATAAAAATAATAAGATTTAAATTTTGCCTTTATCTTTAACATCATATGACTGTGTGCTTAGGATTATCAAGAAGGCTTGTGCTCAGCTTGTTAAGCAAATGAACAGAACACTAACAATTTTTTTGCGCTCGACATATAAACGAGTTGAACACGAACAGTGATATTTTTTATCGAGTTGAACAAGAGCCGAGACTAGGCTCGCTCAAGGTCGGCTCATTTACACCTTTAGTTATGAGTACATATGCAAATGGCATCGACTACTGTTACAATTACAATAAAAAGATCAATAATTTTAATGGATTAAATATATTATCACTTGTATATATAAACATGTTCATAATCTATACATAATTTTGATTTCTTCTATCTATTTCACTCATAACTAATGTACCTATTGTCAGAATCTTGAGATTTGGTATCAATGAAATCCTCACGACGTTTCCTACAATTTGTATGTACTCCACCTTGGCCAATTCTAACACAATAGGTTGCAAATTTAGCGAGAAAATCAGAATAGAAGTTCTAAATGTTGAAATTGCAATGTTTTTTTTTTATTATTTCAGGCGTAAATCACTCATTGAAATCTTAGCATATTTTTATCAAAATCTTAGCATATTTTTAATGTGTACAACTTTATGTTTTTCACTTGGTCAATTGAACGTTGAAATTCCAACATCTTCTTCCAATTTTAGGCACTGTGTCTGCGCGCGCGCGTGTGTGCGTGTGTGTGCGTGTGTGTGCGTGTGTGTGCGTGTGTGCGTGTGTGTGGCTCATATACCATATCGGGACAGACGCTGGATCGAAGCAGAGCGGAGCGGAGCGGAAGAATCTATCCAAATTGGGAAGTTACGTGGGTTGGGGGTGCGGGGGCAAAGCCCCGCGGTTTGGTACAGGGGTAATGTTGTAATTACATGTTGTGCCTAGGTTTACTCCTGCGGTTATAAATAGGCCTGTTAGTAACCCCAGGAGGTAACCCTGAATCTGTAAACTTTTTTCTGATTATTGAAAGGAACTCGCCGCTCTGCTCCCGAACCTCGTTAAATCTCTGTGTTCTTCTGGATTTGTGTCGTTACTGTTTTCTTCGCCCTAATTTTCTCAACAAGTGGTATCAGAGCCAGGTTTTAGGGCAAGGAAGAAATTTCGTCAGCGCGAGGAAGAAGCTTTAGCGGTTTTTTTTCGGACTCGGTGATCTCTGTCGAAGGAGAGGGAGTTCGCGGCTAGGAGAGGCTCTCGATCGCGCGGCGGCTAAGGGAGACGGATCGCGAGCGAACAGGAGGGACAGTAGCTTCCCGTTCGCGGCTCGGGAGGACGCACCTGGCGGGATCCCTGTTCGCACGAGAGGCGTGACGTTTGGGAATAGCTGATTTGCGACTGGAAGGTCGCAGAACTATAGTTCTTTTCGACGAGGAAGGAAAAGTTCGGCGGCTGTTGGAGGTGGCTGTGCAATTTATTTCCTTTTTTGGCCGAGTTTCACTTGCCAAAGCAGAAGATAGCAGGAGGCGAGAGATTCCCTTGGCTTCCTAAAGCGCGCAACTTCCTTTTCTGGCCGGAAAGGAAAACCAATTTTGGCGGAGAGAATCTTGGGTTTTTGCTGGGAGAGTAATTGGCGGATTGAAGGCTAAAATTGGAATGGAATGTTTGCTTTGTGCCAAAGGAATATTCTAGTGCTGGAGGCTATTTCTAATTTTCATTGCAGGAGGCTTCCGAGATATTCGCGGCTTGGGAGTTACGAGATCGCAGCGGCTCAGGGAGGACGTGGAACAGGCAGGCTTCCCGTTCGGGTTGATGAAAGACATCCAGAAAAGGAAGGCGAAAGAATTTCCATTATCGTTTGCTGCGGATCTGAGAAGGAAAATATTTGCTCTAAACGGGAAATATTTACTCCATAATATTCCCTTCCGGAGAAGGAAGTAAAGTTTTTTGAAATTTGTTAATTAAAATTAATATTTTAATTAAGGGGTTCTTGATTAAGGAAGCTTAATCAAGAATATATTTCAATTTTTTTTTCTTTTCAAAAAAAAAAAAAAAA